TTGAACCGCAAGATTGGCGGTTGAAGTTCACCTGCTGCCCCTATACAGGGTTACTATGAGTCAGAACCAACTCAACAGCACTTAACAACTTCCCTGGTCAACCCTAGAACTGTGTATGGTGTCTGAGTTGTGTGTGGCCACTACAGTGAATTCTGCAGTACAGTGTGCTGGGCAGGGATGGTTTAGCATCACACATTGTTTGGAATTTTCGAGAGATAGTGTACCTATTCAGCTAAGGGTTACAAAAAGCACCTCTATTCACCAACGTAGCAGTTCCATGGCACAGCATAAGGACAGATGAAGGCAGCCATGGAGCCTGGCATGCAGCAGACCGTCCATGTGTTCTCACTGGTTTACTCACCCAGTAAGTGGAAGCATTGCCTACCACTTGCACTGAATCCCATCTCAAGTGCATCCTTTCTTCCCAAGACTGGGTAGTCTGTACTCTCAGCCCCCATGCCTCCAAGCCTCTCACAGACATCGGCACCGTGCTCCTCAAGGGTTGGCCAAAGGATGGTCCCAGGAGTCTATACAACGTCCAGCTAATTCTGGGGAATGCTAATAACACGGAAGAAACAAAATCTCCCTCCAAAGCCTGCCTCTGCCACTGTAAGCTGCCGTGGAGTTGGCCTTCACTCACAGAGCACTGGACCATTGTAGCTCACAGGCTGGCCTTTGGCAGAACGCCACACCTTTCTTCCCAGTCTGCCTTACCAGGAAGCTCTGCTGAAACCTGGTCAGTGTCACAGCAACATGACACTCCCCATTTGGTGCTAGCAAGAGCTGCATTGGTTGGAACTCCAACCTGGTTCCTACCACGGAGCCACTGCCCTGACACTAAGCTCTAACTTCCCTGAGCCTCTGCCTTCACAGGCAAGGGGGAAATGAGATAAACAAGATTGCAGAGCTACTCAAAATGTTGTGCAAGTTAAAACCCTTAAAATGCTGCAGAATCCTCACAAGTCAGCCAGTTCTTAATAGCACCTTTGATGACACTTTCGGGGAAAAGCCAACCCTACCATTTAGAGCCAAGATGGGCTAAAATGAGATATATTCAACCAATAGCCATTAAGCCCTTCAGGGATTGGCAAGGGCAAAGGATCCTGGAGTCGTTAGAGCATCTTGAATTCTTTGTTGCCTAGAGACAGTTGCCAAGAGACTGGAGTCCCTCCTCTCCCTTTGGCAATCTAGCTTGAAGACTCTGATGCTGCATTCTCCAGGGTTTCTGCCTGGTGGCTGGTCAGAATTCATCTCTCCCTCCTCTTCCTTACCCCAGCCTTTGGTGAGCAACTCTCTCATAGTACTGAGGCTTATGCCTCCGAGCACATGGTGAGCTCTCACTAAAGCAGGCCAAACCTTAGCCAGGATTTCTTCATTCCCAATGGGATCTAAGAAAGTGCACTATTTAACACACTTGATAAGCATTTATTGTCTTAGAAAGAGAAGTAATCAGCAGTTTCGTAAGTTAGATCTAGTATTAATTATACTTAAAGATTTGATCACTTACCATTTCCTTTTTAAATTGGCAGTTTTGAGATATGGAATAAAAGTTTGCCATACTGAAAATATCTTTAGAAAGCTCAAGTTCTGGTTCTGGCTCAAAAGTCACTGAAATCCCTTATGATCTCTGTATAGTGCGTGGGGAAGGGTTGCTGGTAGAAATCCCTGCCCATTGGGTTTCTCAGTCCTCCACTTCAGAGGTCCTGAGGGGACTGTAAGAAGCCATTCAAAAACCAGTGTTTTTTCTAAGATAAATCGGACTTGGTTAAAACAGAAGACGGTCATACTGCAAACACCGTCATCAAGACAGTGAGCCATCGATATAATGGGAGAAAATATTTGCAAATCATATTCTGGATAAGGGCCTTGTACCCACAATATAAGGAGCTCTGGTAGCGTAGTGGTTACGAGTCGGGCTGCCAACCTCCAGGTCAGCAGTTCAAAACTACCAGCAGTTCCACAGGAGACAAATGAGGCTTTCTGCTCCTGTAAAGATTTACAGCCTCGGAAACCCTGTGCAGGGTCACTATGAGTTGGAATTGACTCCACGGTACTTAACAGCAACACCCAGAATATATAAAAATGTTTAAACCCAATTAATAGGAAGACAAATACTCTAATTTTAAAAGGTACCAAGGATTCAAATAGACACATTCCCAAGGAGGATTACAAACGTCCAATAAGCACACAAAAAGCTAACCTGAGAAATGAAAATAAATCCACACGAGACATGTAAGACTGAGGAGTTGTGGTTAAGGTGACATGGAATCAAATCCCTCAGCGGCCCGCTGCACAACACAACTGAGCACTAGCCGGTTCTGCATCATCCTCACAATTGTTGGCTGAGCCCACTGCTGCTTCCACCGTGTCAGCCCATCTTGTTGGGAGTCTTCCTCTTTGTCGATGACCCTCCACTTTTCCATGCATGATGTCCTTCTCCAGGGACTGGTCCCTCCTGACAAGACCTTTTCTTATACCTGCTATGGTGGCTTTAATTAAAAAAAAAAAAAACATGGCCACTAACAAGCGGGGGAGAGGTAGAGAGTGGAGTTCTTGGGGGCTGCTGGTGGTGATGTAAAATGGCACAAGCGTTTTGGAAAAAATGTTTGGCAGTTCTTCAAAATTACACCTACTTACCATCTAGCCCAGCACTTCCCCTTCTAGATACAGACCCAAGAGAAAAGAAAACATGAACCCCTAAAGACTTGTCATAGTCCAAAGTGGAAACCATTGTATCTACACAATGGTCTAGTACTGGGCAATACAAGGAGGGTATGGAGTACTGCTAACAGACTACAAGAACCTCACAGTCAGTCAGAAGAGACCACACAGGATACGATGCCATTTCTCCAGTGTGTGCTGGGCAGGCTGAGCCAGAGCCAGGAAGCAGATGAGCGGTTGCCAGAGCTCAGAGGGGAACTGGGAGCAAAGTGCTTGTCAGCACACGTTTCGTTCAGGGAGAACAAAACCGTTTTAAAATGGGACTGTGGGGTGGTGGATGGACAACCCTATGAAGGTACAAAATAGTCCATGTTGTTAATTGTTTTCCAGTTGGTCTTGACTCAGACTGACCCCCTGTGCTGGGTTTCCAAGGGACAACCGGTTCATTCGAATCACTGACCTTTCAGTTAGCAATCCAGTGCTTATCCTACAGTGCCAAGCTGGGACTCTAATGGTACACTTCAAATAGGGGAATTGTATGGTATACAAATCGTATTTCCAGTAAAGCTGTTTAACAAACAAAAAGATCAACAGGTGAAACTAAAGAAGGGCCCTCCCTCCTGCTAACCCTTTTTATAAAGGCCATCTTGAATGAACTTCTTTGTTCCATAGTACTTTCCTTTGTTAGTCTAGTTTGCTTCCTTGCTGCATTTCTTGTAAAGGGAGGTAGCAAGTAAGGGTAAACCACTTCTTCATACACCATAATGTCATGTTCTTAAGAAAAATAGGCTTTATGGTGAAAGCAGAAAAAAGAACCAATTCCCTGGAAAATGTAACATATTGCACAATCACACTGTGGTTATAAAGTCAATACAAATATACAATTTTTCTTTGAATTATAAACATCTACAAATAATTCCAAGATGCCAAGCATTTTAATAACATTTAAAACAGGAACATGGAAAGAAATGCTGAATAAATTCTAAACATGCAGCTTTATATCAACATTTTACAAAACAAAACAAATTTTCACACTTAACAACAGCACAGACTGTAAACTCACAGTAAGTAGTATTGTTTTGGAAGCATCTATAATGCACATGTATAAACAGCTTAACAAAGTTTCATTTAAAACTCATATAGACCTCATTTTGAGTTTTCCATTCTTGGCATTCCCCATTGGAAAATAAAACCACAAATTTTAGTACAATTCATTTTAATTTATTCCAGTGCAAAAAAAAAAAAAAACCATTTCCAAGTCTGCTTCTAATTTTAGCTTCAAAACAAACTGACCTAAAATCCATAGTCTTTCATAGCTGTGGTGATCATGAATAAGTGAATATGAAAATAAAAAATGAATTAACACATTTGTTGATAGAATGGCACAAGCGTTTTGGAAAAAAATGTTTGGCAGTTCTTCAAAATGTTACATCTACTTACCATCCAGCCCAGCACTTCCCCTTCTAGATACAGACCCAAGAGAAAAGAAAACATGAACCCCTGAAGACTTGTCATAGTCCAAAGTGGAATTGTTGACAGTGCTCAAAACCCACATTTGCAGCATTCTCTTTCAATGCAGCGCAAACTAAAACCCTGCTCCTTGTAAATACATGGAACCATAATGTATTTCAGCTGATCACGAGTTATTATAACTAGAATGTAAAAGATAACCCATTCCTTCAAATACTGTCTGCTCCGTTCACTTCAATTTCATGTTTCCTACAACCACCACTATGGAACTCAAACAACACAAATGTGCAAAGAAAACAGATTATTATTTGAAATAAAAGTCCAGAAGAACAAGTTAGAATTAAGAGGTAAATTTTACTTTCATGTGTTCAAACATTGCAGTTGTAAGAAATATAAAGTCATTTCAATTGTGTATTTTAATGGAATCCTAATTTCAGGAGCCCCAAATTAACTTAAATAAAATTCCATGCTTCCAGAATACTAAATACCATGCAGTATAGTATTAAAAAGTAGGGCTAATAACTTTATGAACAGAATTCACTCATATTTTGCTTTCTACCCAATTAAAAAAGAACTGCAATAAAACCACTTGGGATTATCTATTTATCTTGAAATGTTACTAAAGTTCCAACGTAACTGTAAATATCTATAACTAACTTAAGCAAGGTTAGTCCCCAAACAATGGAGTGGGGCAACATGTTCAAAGAACAAAATCCCTGGTGGGTATGGAAATGGGTCCCCAGACTCCAGCTTCCCAGAGCTCCGGTGGAGCGCCCAGTGGTGGGATTCATGCACTGCTGGTCTGGAGATGAGAGGTGTCCGTCCGTGGACCCTTCTACATAACTGAGAGTTCTGAGACCCAGTCAGAGTCAACCATCAAACTGAAGGACGCCATACTTGCCAGTGGTGAGCCAGCCGGGCTCTGAGGCTGCAAGCTCTTCCCCTTGCCCCGGCTGCAGACCCACCTGAACCTCCGCTTTTAGTGTTCTCACGCTGCAGAGAGGTGCAGGGTGGAAGCCTTTCAGCGCCTGATGAAATGGGATGGTAAACGCCCATTTCCTGTCCCCTGTCAACTTCCTGTAATTCAAATCGCCCTTGAATAAAATCAAATCTGCCTTCTGTAGCTCTGCATATAGGTCAGGAGCCACCTGAGACATGGCACAGTACTCGTGAGGCAAAGTCCAAAATATATGATCATGGTAGATCCACCTGCCCATCTTAATATGGTCTTCCCAGTCAGCCCCAGACTTGGACATCCACTTATCATCAGAATGTTTTACTTGTTCAATTAGCCAATTAAAATCATGTTTAGTAGTATCAGACACAAACCATGGTATCGTTTTTCCATAAAAATGGATCTTAGTAGCCAGGTTAGAGGCTAATAGGAAGTCAGCTAATACTAAATCTGTAATAAGTTCAAACCCAGAATTATCCAGAACAATATCCACTCTAATAGGTGCGTTTTCTCTTGTTTTCTTGCACTTGCTAAGCAATGACCAAAGATGGTCCATGTGATTCACTAAAATGAGAGGTTTTAGGTCTTCCAGAGAATTCATTAAATTGCTCTTCTGCGAACTACTTGTCCCACCTGATAGAGAGAGGTCACACTTATTTCCCCACAGAGCAACCTGTGAAACAAAATGCACAAAACATTAATCTTTCTTGTGAACAACCAAGAAAGACTCAAAAAAGTCACTCATAAAATTTCTACAAAACTCTTCAAAGTACCCATTAAATCCATACTTTCACTGACCACACCCATCGTGTTTAATCAGAATGAGAAGGTCTGTATCTTGCAGATAATAGGAGATCATGAGATTCAAAGGCTACTTTATCATCCAAAGTCAAAGAAAGGCAAATAATTCTTTTTCTATCACCCCACCTTCCTTTAATTTGTTGAATAACCTTTCAGACATTTAGTTCTCTCACTTATAAAAGAAAAAAATGGACAAGCTGGTATCTATAGATCCTTCCAACAATCTCTTATTCTACTTTAAGTTAAGGAGCTCTGGTAACCTAATAGTTACGAATCGGCTGCGAACCGCAAGGTCAATAGTTCGACCCTAGCAGCTGTTCCACAGGAGAACGATGAGGCTTTCAGCTCCTGTAAAGATTTACAGCCTCAGAAACCCAGTAGAGGGTTGCTATAAGTCGGAACTGACTCCACGGACACAGCCACCACCACTCCTTTAAGTTAAGATATCTAATTTTATTTTGTAGTAAGTGGCACTTAGCCTTAGTATTTAAAAATCTGTAACTAAAATTACATGCTTAAGACTGCAGGCTCCAGAGTCAGACAGAACAGGGTTCAAATCCCAGCACTTCCAGTTAATGACCATTGGCAGATTACTTATGATCATTAAGGCACCAAGTTCTGCAACTAAAAGCATGATGTCTGATAACAGTGTCTCCTCAGAGGATTCCTGTGAGAATCAACTGTTGGTAATGCATGGAGAGAACATATCCAGTGCCTACCAAGTAGTAAAAAATAACAAAACAAAACAAACCTGCTACCATCTAGTCAATTATGACTCATAGCAACCCTACACAGGGTTTCTGAGATGGCAAATCTTTATGGGTATCAATAACCTCATCTTTCTCCTGTGGAGCAGCTGCTGGGTGTGAACTGCTAACCTTGTGGTTAGCAGCCCAGTGCTTATCCCACAGTGCCACTAGGTTCCCTTAGCACATAGTAAGTACTCACTAAACATTAACCAAAAGAGGCTCTATTCCATTGTGTGACTCAACATACGAGGAAGATACATGTTCCGGTCAAGTGTATCATTTTAAAAAGAAAGATGAATGAATGAATAAAGTGTAAGGTAATAAAACATAACTCTTCTGCTCATAAGGAGTCCAGGTAGCATAATGGATTATGCCCTGGGCTGCTAACTACAAGGTCGCCGTTCAAATCTACCAGCTACTCCATGGGCGAATGGAGCCCCCGTAAAGACTGACAGCCTCGGAAACCCTTCAGAGGCTAGCTATGAGTTAGAACCGACTCAACAGCACCTCACCACCTCTGCTCATAAACGCTCTAATAGCGTCCTGTCTCACTTGGAGCAAACACCAAAGGCCTCACTTTTGCTGACAGGCCACTGTGCCCATCTCACCCCAACCTCATCTCTCACCAGGATCACTGGTGGCACAGTGATTAAGCACTTGGCTGCTAACTGAAAGGCCAGCGCTGGTCAGCTTCCATAACTATGTACAAGGCCAGAGCTGCTCAGCTTCCATAACTATGTACAAGGCCTGAGCTGGTCAGCTTCCATAACTATGTACAAGGCCAGAGCTGGTCAGCTTCCGTAATTATGTACAAGGTCAGAGCTGGTCAGCTTCCATAACTATGTACAAGGTCAGAGCTAGTCAGCTTCCATAACTATGTATAGCCCTGGGATCGCTATGGGCAGTTCTCCTGGGTTCTACAGGGTCGCTATGGGTCGCTATCGATGGCAGCAGGTTCTAGCTCTGTCAGCTCATTTCCTTGTCACAGGGCAGTTGCCCAGCTCACCCAGATGCAGGGCTCAATCCTCCTCAGCTCCCGCCCCAACCCGTGCCAACCTTCAGCAAACAGCAGCTACCCCGCCCACACAACAGCCATAATTCTTCTCAGTTTCTCCCTCTTCAGAGCACTTTCTGATACTGTTCTAAGAAATGTTTTCTGGAAAAACTGACTGCTGGCGATACCACTACGTATTAGACAGTTTTCTAATGGTTCTGTTTGCAATAATATGTTTTAAATTTTAGAATGTTTTGCGTGGGAATAAAACTAAACTTAATACAAGACGGAGGAAATGGAATAGAGTGTTATTAACAGGCTGACTGAGCAGTTGCACCCAGTCACCTGAGGAGAGTTACAGCTCCAGTTTCCGTGACCAACTCTTTACAACGCTCTGGCCACATCTGGCAATTCCATCCTCATCTATACATGAGGAGACTGAACTTCAGAGAAGTTAAGGAATATGCCTCAGGTCCAACCGCAAACAAGCAAATGAGCTGGGATTTTCAAACCAAGTCTCGCTAGGGCCAGACCAAACCACTCTGGAATATTCTCTCAACAAAACGAAAGGTCACCACATCAGATAATGCCCACGCCACGGAAACCATTTCCCGTTGGTGCCAAAAAAGATTTCAAAACTCATTTTTACAGATTAGAGATTTTCATTTCTTAAATGATACTGTGAATAAAATAATTTTTTTAAAAAATGATAACTTACATGGCAGTACAAGAGGGCTTCAGAAAAGTTCATGGAAAAACGGAATGAAAAAATTATAAAATTCTTCCACTAACCAGTCTCCTCATTTATATACATCCTTGTTGTGAACTGTACCAGATTAATAATTGTCTACACTAACAAAAAGTGTGGTGGCTTTGTAAGATAAACACTGGACTGAAAACCACAAGGTCAGTGGTTCGAGCCCACCAGTCACACCACAGGAGGAAGATGAGGCATTCTGCTCCCCCAAAACTGACAATCTAAGAACCCCATGCAGATGGCTAATGAGCCGAGCTGATTCCATGGCACTAAGCAACAGTAACAACAAAACTAACAGTCACTAGATGAATTATCCCATTTACCTGCAGAAATTTGAAAAACTCATTTTTGAGCTGAACTTCATCTAATTCTTCAACAGTTCTCTTCAACTCTTGCAGGTAACTACACAAAGCAATGATAGAGTCCTGTGACTCAAAGAAATTCTGTTCTTTGGATTCTTGAAATACATCAAAGTCATTGATTGGTGGGCTAAAAAGGGTGAAAACATAAGAGGAAAGCGTAAGTAAGTCATTTATGAACTCCACACAGTACTTTTCCTATTGTCGTGTTTCACTTTTGGGTAAGTGTCATTCTCCAAAGGATAGAGCAGTACCCCCCCAGTACCGAGAGTTAGGGGCCACAGACAGTAAGTAACACACAAATCATCAAATCAAACAAAAAGAAAGCCCATTTCAATTAATTCTTAAAAGTTCCCTACTCAAATAGTTTACTGGAAGTAATAATAAATATAGTGACTATGTTTAAGTTTCCCTATTATTTATCCAGTAGCGTGTGAGAGACAAAGTCTGGCCATCCTGGCCTCCAAGGAGCACACTGGCTGTACTTCTATTGGTTCTTTCAGCAGTCCCTGGCACTTTCAATATTTTCCTCCAACACTATAACTCAAAAGCATCAATTCTTCTACAGTCTTCCTTATTCACTGTACAACTTTTGCATGCACGTGAGGTTAGTGAAAATACCATGGCTTGGGTCAGGTGCAGCTTAGTCCTCAAGCTGACATCTTTGCTCTTCAACACTTAACAAAAGGTCTTGTGCTGCAGATTTGCCTAATGCAACACGTTGATTTCTTGACTGCTGCTTCCAAGAGTGTTGATAGTTGATCCAAGAAAAATGAAGTCCTTGACTTCAATCTTTTCTCTGTTAATAAGAATGTTATTTATTGGTCCAGTGGTGAGGATTTTTGTTTTCTTTACACTGAGAGATGCAATCCATATCGAAGCCTTCTGGTCTTTGATCTTCATCAGTAAGTATTTTAAGTCCTCTTCACTTTCAGCAAGCAAGGTTGTATTGTCTGCATATCACAGGTTGTTAATGAGTATTCCTCCAATCCTGATGCCATGTTTTTCTTTATAGAACCCAGCTTCTCAGATTATTTGCTCATCATCCATGTTGAATAAGTATGGTGAAAGAATACAACACTGTCTCACACCTTTCTTAATTTTAAACCATCCAGTGTTGCTTTGTTCTTTCAAACAACTGCCAGTAAGCAACATCATGATAAATGGAAAAGCATAAATTGATGTTGTCAAGGATTTCATTTACTTGGATCCATAATCAAGATCCATGGAAGCGGCAATCAAGAATTCAAACATTGCCTGTTGCTGTTGTTAGGTGCTGTTGAGTTAGTTCCAACTCATAGAGAGCCTTTACACAACAATACATCACCCTCACAATTACTCATACACTTGAGCAGATTGCAGTTGTTACTGTGCCAATCCACGCTCTCTTTTGCTGTCCCTCTACTTTATTAAGCATGATGTCCTTCTCCAACAACTGGTCCCTCCTGATTAGATGTCCGAAGTATGAGGGACAATGTCTTGTATGAGGGACGATGTCTCACCATTCTGGCTTCTAAGGAGCATTCTGACTGTACTTCTTCAACACAGATTTGTTTGTTCTTCTGGTAGCCCATGGTACTTTCAATATTCTTCTCCAATACTTTAGCTCAAATACATCAATTCTTCTAGTCTTTGTTCATTGTCTAACTTTCACAGGCATATGAGGCAACTGGAAATATCAGGGCTTGGGTCAGGCACACCTTAGTCCTCAAACTGATTATCTTTGCTCTTGAACACTTTAAAGAGGTCTTGTGCAGCACATATGCCAATAGAGCATTTGATTTCTTGACTGCTACTTTCATGAATGTTGATAATGAAGCCAAACAAAATGAAGTCTTTGACACCTTCAATCTTTTCTCCATTTATCATGTTGTTTTTTATTGGTCCAAGAAATCTGGAAGACAGCTACCTCGCCATCCCATTAGAAAATATCCATATCTATACTCATTCCAAAGAGAGGAGACCCAACAGAACATGGAGATCATTGAACAATATCATTAACATCACCTGTAAGTAAAATTTTGCTGAAGATAATTCAAAAATGGCTACAATTGGCTACAAAAAAAAAAGGCTACAATAATACAAAAATGGCTACAATTGACAGGGAACTGCCAGAAATTCAAGGTGGATTCTGAAAAGGACATGGAAATGGGGATATCAATTGCTGACATCAAATGATTTGGGTCAAAAGCTGAGAAAACCAAAAAGATGCTTACTTGTGTTGTATCAACTATGCAAAGACTTTTGTCTATGTGGATTATGACAAACTATGGATACACTGTTATCCCAGAACACTTACAATTGGAGGAAGACTTACTAACAAGCTGCAGTATACAGATGATACAACCTTGCTTGTTGGAAGCTATGAAAGGGCTTACAATACTGATGTAGATCAAAGACTTGATCAAATGTAGACAACCTTCAGTATGGATTGCACCTCAATGTAAAACAGAACAATAATGCATAGCGTTGGACAAATCTGCTGCATAAGACCTCTTCTAAATGTCAGAAAGTAAGAGATGCCATTTTAAGGCTAAGGTACACCTGACACAGAATTTTCAATCATCTCACATGTGTGGGAATGCTGGACAAAGGAAGAACAATCGATGTCTGTGAATTACAATGCTTGTGGAGAATACTGAATGTGTCACGGACCGCCAGAACACAGAAACGTGCCTTGGAAAAAGCACTGCCAGAATGCTTCTTACAAGCGAGGATGGCATGGCTTTCTCTCACGTCCTTTATCCGTGTCATCATGAAAGGCTAGTCTCTCCTTGGCTTCACACAGTGACAGCAGCCATTACAATGATGATAAGGATGGTGCAGGACCAGGCAGTGTTTCCTTCTGTTGCAGACAAGATCGCTAGGAGGCGGAACTGACTCCACGGCACAACACTTTCATATAGTGCACGACCACACAGCAAGGAAAATGAAAAGGTCTATAATTAACGCAAGCATGTGGATGGATTTCACCTACTTAATGTTGAGTGAATGACGAGTGCTGGTGTGCGCTGCTGGGTAATGTGCTGGACCGCAAGGTTAATTTGAGTCACAAGGTCAGCAGTTCAAACCCAATAGCCGCTCCTTGAAAACCCCATACAGGGTCACTATGAGTTAGAACCAACTCAACGGCACTTAACAACAACACTGAGTGAAAGAAGCCAGGTAAGACTTTATACTGCATAATTTCATTAAATCATGTCTGAAAATAGGCAATACACATACAGGCCATACTGGTTATTCTTGAGAGGTGGTGGATAAGTGCCGTTGTTGGGTCAATTCCAACCCACAGTGAGCCTGTATAGGGTTTCTGAGGAGCGGCTGGTAAGTTTGAACCGCCGACCTTGCGGTTCAAAGTGACATTGTAGTTTAGTGCATGAACCCACAGCACCACGTCAGGACGTAATGATGGTAACTAGGAGGAATTCGAGGGGCTTCCGGCTGGTTGATCTGGGCACTGGGCATGGGGGTGTGTTCCTGTGGCAATCACTGAGCTGTACCCCAGAGACATGCATTTTCCTACCTGTGTATGCTCACTCGTACTGTCATGAATTCGATTCCGATTCCTAGCAACCCTGTGTAGGGCTTCTGAGGGTATAAATCTTTGCAGGAACAGAAAGCCTCATCTTTAATCTGAGGAGCAGCGGCTGGGTCTGAACCACCAACTTCACGGTTATCCTATAGTGCTACCACCTTCATTAAGTCTTAAAGTATCTTCTCTGTACTTTCACTTCTCAGTATCTGAAGCATACTTATTTAAATGTACGGCTGAACCTTTGAGTCTGAATTTAGACGTAATGACTAGCCACCTATGTAACTCTAATAATAAAAACCAAAACAGGCATCTTGAAAATAAAATTAAAAGTATGCTTCGGTCTGAAAGGGAAAATCAACATAAACACAGCTTGCTGGTGGTGGTTGTTCCATGCCACTGTGCCGACCCCCTCTATAGAGTGGATCTGCTCCACGGGACTTTCTCGGTATACCGGAAGCAGATCTGCAACTCAGGCTCCTTTAGCAACACCGTTCCTTCCGACTCAGAGTGACCGTCTGCACCACATGGCGGACCACCACCCAGTCCTGCGCCATCCTCACATTCGTTGTTACACTTGAGCCCGCTGTTGCTGCCCTGCACCTCTTTGGGGAGTCTCTCTCTTTTTATCTGTCCCTCCACTTTGCTAAGCATGATGTCCCTCTCCAGGGACTAGTCCCTCCTGATAAAATGTCCGAAGTATGAGATGGAGTCTCGCCATTCTGGCTTCTAAGGAGCATTCTGGATGTATTTCTTCCAACACAGTTTATTTTGGTTCTTTTGGCAGTCCAGAAGAGTACTTTTAACATTCTTCTCCAACACCGTAAGTCAGATGCATCAATACCTAAAAGCTACAATGCGCTTTTGAGATCCTACAAAAGACAGTGTGACCCTTCTTTGGCTATTGTGGAGTGGTCATTGACCCAGTACAGGAATTCCCCTTCTGAGCATCCCTAGAAAACAAGCACAATTCCTAGTACATAGCTGTAGGGTAAGCTTGTTTAATTGGGGAGCTCTTAGGGGTGAGGGGTGGCATAATAGAACCGCCCCCCTAAAAATGACTCTGGGAAAGCTCTACCTCCATGGCTCCTCACTGAGCTCCTCAAAATCAACACTGAATTTTCCCTGCACCCCTTTTAACCAATTTTTCCGGAACAGTGCTTATTAACCCAGACTACACAGAGTTTGTCTGAGGCACCTACAGAAAACACAGGTGCCCAGGTCCCCCAGATAAAAGAAAGAATCTGTATTTATTTCAATACTGTTAACTGACGTCGAGTCGGTTCTGACTCATACCAACCCTATACAGGGTTTCCAAGGAGCAGCTGGTGAGCTTGAACCACCAACCTTGAGGTTCAAGCAAATATTGTAGTCCAGCACATTAACCTACAGCACCACACCAGGACTCCTATTTAAATATGTTGTTGTTGTTAAGTGCCATCGAGTCAGTGCCAACTCATAGCAAAACTATATAGGGTTTCCAAAGAGCAGCTGGTGGGTTTGAACTGCCAACCTTGTAGTTTGCAGTCCAGTGCTTATCTTACAGCGCCACACAATCTGTATTAAAAAATCTCTCCTCCTCCCGCCTCCCTAGCTGG